CGGCTGCTGCGGCTGCGGCTGTGGCGGAAGCGACTGCGGCTGCTGCTGTGACGGCTGCGGCGGCTGCTGCAGTGGCGGAGGAGACACGGGGGCCGAATGAGCATGTGCCGCAGAAACAAGCAGCGGACCCTGAACTGTAGGGCCCCCAGAGTTAGCAGACTCCTCCGCCGTGGCAACCTTGGGAAGGGGAGTGACGTGAGACACACCTGACGGGGCAGGACGAGGAGCAGGAGCTACCGGGGGAGTGCGGACAAGGAACAGGGTTGGGGTGATGGGAGACCGCGGTGGCAGAAGTGGGTGTAGAAAGGGACAGACTTGTCAAATGTGACATCACGCGAGTGAAAGAAATGGTGAGACGGCGGGTGGTAGAATGGCCACTCAGGCGCGTCCAAGGGGAAACCAAGGAAGACGCAAGGGACGGTGCGGGCAGTGAGCTTGTCCGCGCGAGGGTCGCGGACGTGAGCGAGGCAGCCCCAGACGTGAAACGCAGACGCATCACCAGGGGACCCGGTCCAGTAAAGGGTCGGCAAAACCTACGGCCTCTGGGAGTGTGGCCACAGGTTGCAGGGAGACCTAAGACAAGATCGTGCTGGGACATGTGACGCAGACGCGGGAGTGCGGGGTGACCTAGGCGCTGGTGCCACAGGCGTGGTGAGGGGGACACCAGGGGCGGCGTCGGTACAGCTTGTATACCGCTCGTGCCCAAGGAACGTAGTGGTGACGCCAAGGTCCTGAAGGTGGCCGACACCAACTAGGTTCCTGGAGAACGAGGGGATATGCAGACCCATAAGCGAGCCCGATGGAACCGTCGGACAGGGAAGTGTTGTGGAGCTACGTGCAAATACGGGACCTGAGGAAGGGTCAGCAAGAGCGACGGCGGTAGGGGCAGCAAGCGGCGTAAGCGCAGTGTGGTCGCAAAAGGAGCAGGCGGACGCACCAGAGTCAAGCGTGAAGGAGAGCGCGGCGGTAGCGTCAGCCTGCGGGGGCACTAGTGTGGAGCCGAGGCTTAACAAAGTAGGAGATCCAACGCCTGATGCAGCAGGGGAGACTATACTATACATAGTGGGTATACCTATGCTAGGGAACACAGGGTAATAAGGTCAAGTCACACTAGAGTCGTCAGCATATATGGCATACAAAGCAGAGCAAATCTGATCCATATCCATCTCGAAGATAGGCACGCAGCGACGTACCAGGCTGGGGCAGTCTGGGAGGTCCGGCCTAGGGCCGAAGCGGAGACGGAAGAGGTCTTCGAGGCGACGGTAGCAACGGGTGGCGGTGTGACCAGAACGGCTATACACGGTGCCATGAAAGGGACCACTCTGGAGCTGGTACTGGCAACTTACAGGACTGGAGCTGGCGCCGGACGTCGAGCCGCGTGGGCCGCCACCAAAGCCGCAAGTCCACCACGACGGCGGGGGTCACCACAGCTGCTGCTGCTGCTGCTGCGGCGACTGGTGTTACTGTTGCTGCTGCGGCTGCTGCTACTGCTGCTAATGCTCCTGCTGCTGCACCGGGGCATCAGCCCCGGCCCCCTCGACAGTACCACCGGTACTTGCACCACCTCCACCACCGCCGCCATCGCTGCCCCCCCCACCACCACCGCTACCCCCGCCACCCCTGCCACTCCCCCCTCTAGGGCGCCACGCCCCCCTCTGGGGCGGCAACCCTATCCTAACGAGGTTGCACCGAGGCCGTTACGGCGGACTCAGCAACAGGGGCTGTCTGAGCGACAGCAGCAGAAATGTCAGAGTAAGTGCACTAAGAAAGAGCACACCACTAGAAGATAGGGACCGCCACAGTACCGCTAGACTGAGCGATAGTGCGCTTGCAGGTCTCTATCGCGGACAGGGTTGTGACGAACTCGGGGAGGGTAAGGTCAGCGAGGTGGAGACTGAAGGCGTCGCGGGCAGTGACGAGGCGGTCAGGGAGGCGCGTTGCAAGGAAGTAGAGAGTAGCTCGAATGGGGGGAGAAAGTACAGTGAGCTGGACCTCAGTGCTACCAGCGCAGTAGCTGGACTCTAGTGCGTGGAGATGAGTGGCAAGGTCAGCGACAGTAGGGAAGGACGCAAAATCAGGAAAGCGCAGGGGCAGGAGGAGGCGGCTAGCAGAGGTAGAGGAGGGAGTGGAACAGTTCGTAATGTCAGTATCTAGGTACTCTTGCACAGTCTTAGCGGCCTGAAAGCGGGGACGCTCGAACCAGGGGAAGCGTGACTGATAACAAGCTGGGCGATAGTGTTGCGCGACTCCCACACTGAGCGCGCAAGCTCAGCAGCAGCAAACGCTGTAAGAAATAGAGTTGAAATGATTGATTAGGTAAGGAGCCCAAGGCTCTATAAGTACATGGCAAGGTGAGAGAGAATGGATGAAGGGGGAATCGGAGGGAATCCCCATTGGGATCTCTGGAATCTCCAATTGGGTAATTGGAGATTGTGGGGATCACAATTGGGTGAGGTTGGGATTTGTGAGTACACCCCAACCCACTAGAACATTCACAACCTAAACTAGGATATAAAAGTACAAATACAAAAGTGGTATTTGCAGTATATTTCTAACACACCCCCATAGACTGCAAACCCGGTCAAGGAGCACATAGCCCCATGGAACGGAGAAGGCGATGGTGGTCAGCCTTGCCGAGAGCCTTGGTAAAGAGGTCGGGGAGGTTGCAATCTGAGGCGATGTACCGTACCGTCAGCTGGTCACTCTGAACAAGATCTCGGATGAAGAAATGACGAAGTTCGATGTGCTTGGTGTGAGAGTGGAACACAAGATCCTTGGTGAGATGAATGGCACTCTGGTTGTCACACCACAGGGTGGGCGACTGCTGGGGGTAGCCTAACTCAGCGAGGAGAAAGGAGAGCCAGCGTGCCTCTTGAGCAGCCATTGTGCCGGCGTAGAGCTCGGCCTCGCAGGACGACAGGGAGACTGCAGAGGACCGAGTGGAGCGCCAGCTGATGACTCCGCTACCAAGGGTGAAGCAGTACCCTTGGGAGGAGCGTCTGTCAGTCTGGTCATCGGCCCATGAGGAGTCTGTGTATCCCTCGAGCTTGACTGGAGAGGTACCACCAAGAGTGAGGATGTGAGACTTGGTGGCTTGTAGATAGCGGAGGACCCTCTTGGCTGCAGACCAATGTGAGGCAGTGTAGCGTCCGGGGGAGACGTACCGAGAGAGGACACTAACCGGGTAAGCCAAGTCTGGTCGAGTGCACGTCATGGCATACATGAGTGAACCGACTAGCTCAGGGTACGGGTCCTTGCAGGCGTCAGGAGAAGGAACTGGAGGGGCCGTGAGCTGATGCTGTAGTGGGAGTGGAGTAGAGACATAGTTACTGGAGTCCATGTCGAACCGCTTGAGAAGGTTGTCGATGTAGGACTCCTGGGAGAGGGTGATCGTGCAAGCCTGGCGGTCACGAGTGATCTCCATCCCCAGGTAGTTCTTGAGGTCACCAAGATCCTTCATGAGAAGGGCGGAGCTGAGAGCAGACTGGACAGCTGCCATGTCGGCTGGATCTCTGGCGGCTAGAATGAAGTCGTCGACGTAGACGAGGATGTAGAAGGGCTCGGAGGAGTGACGAACGAAGAGACTGGAATCTGAGGCAGAGGGATGGAAGTCAAGTGCGAGGAGGACTTCCTTCACCTTGTTGTGCCACTCACGAGGAGCCTGCTTGAGGCCATACACTGGGCGCTTCAGCTTCCACACTGTGTTGGCAGGGTAAGTGCCAGGAAACCTTGGTGGGCGTTCCATGTGATCATCCTCCTTGAGCTGGCCTTGGAGAAAGGCGGAGGAGGCGTCCATGGACTTGATCTCGAAGTTGCCGCGAGCGGCTATATCAAGAAGAGCGCGCACAGTCGGGAGCTTGGCCATGGGTGAGAATGTTTCGAAGAAGTCGAGATACTCCTTCTGGGTGAAACCCTTCGCCACGTATCGTGCCTTGAACAGTGGAGCTTCGCCTGGGAGTTGTTTGACTCGGCCAACGATGTTGACACCGGAAGGGGGAACAACATCGTCAAAGCTGTTGTTGCGAATGAACGACTCGTTCTCCACATCCATTGCTGCCTTCCACTCCTTCTTATGAGGCCCCGAGAGAGCTTCCTCTTTTGTGCGAGGAGTCGGAATGGTCGGGTTCTCGGTGAAGTTGAAGGAAGGGCAATCAGTAATGTCCGGGAAGATGTTGTTAGAAACAGAAATGTTGAGTTTATTGATCAAGCAAAGGCATTACATAGGAAGAGAGAGATGAGCTAGGAAGGGAAGGTTGAAAGGGAAGGGGGGGTTAGGACCAATCATAAGGGAGGGAGGATCCTTCCAAATGTGGTTGACCACAAGTGGGAGGTAGTCCAAGTATGGTGGATCACAAGTGGCTTAGGCAACCCACTTGTGGTGCCCCCACAATTGTGGTCCTTGTGTTTGGGGGCTCCAACCACAATTGGGTTGGATTGATACTCCAACACAGGTGTACACCCAACTAGGGATGTAAACACAATATACACAACTAGCATAGCATGGTATATTCTAACACAACCCCATAGCATGCAAAGCTAGTGTATATATAATGTACAACCCCAGAATCAGGAAGGGGGGCGGGGCCCAAGGCCGAGAAGGCGGAGATGGGCAGAGTGCGCGGTCTTCGGGAGGGCCTTGGTGAAGATGTCGGCCAGGTTGGCCTCTGCAGCGATCTTGCGGACCACCAAGTGACCTTGTTGGACCAACTCCCAAACGAAGAAGTAGCGGAGTTCAATGTGCTTGGAGCGGCCATGGAAGACAGGGTCCTTTGTGAGATGGATGGTGCTGGCGTTGTCGCACCAGAGGGTGGGACAGCGCTGAGGAGCACTGATCTCAGCAAGGAGGAAGGTGAGCCAGCGAGCCTCCTGAGTGGCCATGGTGCAAGCATAGAGCTCAGCCTCGCAGGATGAGAGGGCGATGGAGGAGGAGCGAGTGGAGCGCCAGCTGATGAGGCCGCTGCCAAGGGTGAAGCCGTAGCCTTGAGAGGAGCGGCGATCCGGCTGGGAGTCAGCCCAGGAGGAATCACTGAAGCCAGAGAGGAGGGGAGGAGAAGAGCCTCCGAGGGTGAGGACATAGTCTTTGGTACCACGGAGGTAGCGGAGTACCCGCTTCGCTGCAGCCCAGTGCTCATCAGTGTGGCGACCAGTACCGACGAAGCGAGCAAGAACGCTGATGGGGTAGGCAAGGTCGGGGCGGGTGCACATCATAGCGTACATCAGCGAACCGACGAGCTCAGCGTAAGGATGGTCTGAGGAGGAGGGAGCAGGAGGAGGGGCAAGCTGGTGGTCGGTCTGCAGGGGAGTGGTAACTGGCTTGGCCTGCGCCATGTCAAACCGCTGCAAGACTTGGTCGATGTAGAAGGACTGAGAGAGGGTAATGGTGCGCGATGCGCGGTCCCGGGTGATGGTCATGCCCAGATAGTGCTTGAGCTCACCCAGGTCCTTGCACTTGAGGCGAGCATGCAGGGCGTCCTTCACTTGCTGCATGGCGGCAGCATCGTCAGCGAACAGGATCATGTCGTCGACATACACCAGGATGAAGAAGCGGGTGGGAGAGGAGCGAAGGAAAAGGCTGGCATCAGACTGAGAGGCATGGAACCCCAGGGACTGCAGAGTGGCGGCCAGCTTGTTGTGCCACTCGCGAGGAGCCTGCTTGAGGCCATAAACCAGGCGGCGCAGCTCCCAAACTGTGTTGGCAGGGAAGGCTGCATGAAAGCCTGGAGGCCGCCGCAAGAGGACCCGCTCCTGGAGCTCGCCTTGCAGGAAAACGTTGGAGACATCCATGGAGGCAATCTCCATGCCAATGCGAACAGCATAGTCGAGGATGGCACGGAGAGTTGGGAGCTTGGCAGTGGGAGAGAATGCCTCCCAGTAGTCGATGCCATGGGTCTGGGTGAAGCCCTTGGCACAATACCGGGCCTTGTAGACCGGCTCCTCACCCAGCAACTGCTTCACTCGGAACACCCACAGGCCTTCAACAATGACGTCGTCAGGAGAGGGGACAACGTCAATGAATGAGGCATTGCAGATGAAGGCCTCGCATTCAGCAAAGATAGCCTGGATCCACTTGGCAGCATCGGGGCAGGTGATGGCCTCAAGGAAGTTGGACGGGGTGAATATGGTGGGAGCGGTAGCGATGCCAAGGATGAAGAGGCCAAGGAAGCCCGGGTAGAGAGGCGTGAGGGAAGATGTTTGCTGCTGAACGCCAATGAGCTCCTCATGGGAGTCCTCGATAAAGGGAAGGGAGGGTGGGGGTGGTGTTGGCCAACCCCATGGATGGCCTATGAGTGGGCCATGAGAGCGAGTGTGGATGCGTGGGAGGATGAACGGAGAGGTGGTGCAGCGATGCCGATGAGGTTGCTGCTGTGGTTGCTGCTGCTGTGGCTGCTGCTGCTGCACCTCCTGCTGCGGCTGCTGTTGCTGCACTGCCTGCGGTTGCTGCTGCTGCTGCTGCTCCATCCGCTGCTGCTGCTGCATCTCCTCCTGCTGCTGCTGCTGCTGCTGCTGCTACTGCTGCCGCTGCTGCTCTATCCGCTGCTGCTGCTGCTGCTGCTGCTGCTGTTGCTGCTGCTGCTGCTGCACCTGCTGCTGCTGCTGCTGCTGGTGGTGGTGCTGGTGCTGGTGCGATGAGGCAGAGTGAGCAGGGGAGTCAGGGACAGCTGGGTCATAAATGTCACCTGAGGAAGGAGGAGGGGGAGGAGCAGGATTTGGAGGAAGGAGGGGAGCCTGGGGAAGGAGTGGGGGAATGACAGCATCAGCCCAGGTGAGGGGGCGGGAGAGAGGAGGAAGTGGGTCGGAAGGCGGAACAGAATGATAGAACGGGATGCTCTCATCGAACACCACGTCACGGCTCTGTAGGAGGCGGCCTGAGGACGGGTGAAGGAAGAGGTAACCAGGGGCAGAGCGAGCGTGGCCAAGGTAGACACACTCAATGGCCTTGGAGGCAAGCTTTCCTGCCTGCCTAGAGCGGTCAGGTGGGGGGATGAGGACATATGCCTTGCAACCCCAGATACGGAGAATGGCAGCATCTGGCTTGGTGCTAGCCCAGAGCTCTGTGGGAGTGACGGACTGGCGTTGAGGATGTGGGTAAAGATTAGTGAGGAGAGCAGCATGGACAAGGGCATAGCCCCAAAGAGAAGGGGGCGTGGAGGCATGAGTGAGGAGGCAGCGGGCCGTCTTGGTGATCTCACGAATGCGACTCTCAGCAACACCGTTCTGCTGAGGGGAGTGGGGAAGGGTATGAGTCTGCTGGATGCCATGGGTTGAGCAGAAGGAGGAGAGGGTGCGGTTGAGAAACTCACCACCGCCGTCGGAATGGAGGCGGCGGATGGGGCGACCAAAGTGGACACGGCACTGCTCGGTCGAGGTAACGATGACAGCAAGGGCCTCGGCCTTTGTGTGGAGAAGGAACACCGAGGAGTACCTGCTGTGGTCGTCGACTAGGACAAGCATGTACCGGTGCCCTTGGCGGGAAGGGGAAGGGTTAGGGCCCCAGAGGTCCATGTGGACGAGGTCAAGGGGGGCAGCAGCAAAGGAAGGATGACTGAGGTGAGGCTGTTGTTTGAGCTTTCCATGAATGCATGTGGCGCATGGGGGAGCGGAAGAGGACGGGAGGGGAGGAAGAGTGGGGGGAAGACCGTCAAGCAAGCGGGAGGAGACGGCTTTATGAAGTGTGGAAAAATTCATATGACCAAGGCGATGGTGGATGAGAACAGCGGGGTGGGACAGTGCGCGACAAGAGCATGGGGGGGAGGTGGAGTTGGAGGAAGGTGGCTCTAGAGGGAGGGGAGGGGGGAGAGTGGAGGTGCCTGCACGAGTGGTCACGTGGCATGAGGAGGGGCGCGGTGTCCTGAGGATGTACTGACGAGAGCGAGGGCAAAGTGGGAGGCGATGAAGGAGGCGACGAGTGGGGCCGTGGAGGAGGTCACAGTAGGTGGCAGAGGCGGGGAAGAGGGTAGTGATGCCAGCCTGTTGGAGTTCACGGATGGAGAGCACGTTATGATGAAGGGAGGGAATGTGGAGACCAGTGACCACTCCGGAGGGGAAGGGGGGGCAGGGGAGGGTGGAGAGATGAGTGCAAGGGATGGAGAAGCTGGAATCAGCGCCATGAACGTTGGTGGGGAAAGGGAGGGAGGTGAGGGTGCCGGCGTCTTTGAGGGCAGTTTCAGTGGCACCACTATCGAGAACAAAGTCTATCGTGAGCGAGGAGGGAGCTGAAGACATGGGGTACTGGAAATCACTGGCATTAAAAATAGAGGGATACATGGAAGTGGAAGCAGGGGAAGAACGCATGAGCTCTCCTAGAAAGCTGGAGTGGGAGGTGGGAGCACTAGGGGAAGGAGAGCCCCAGAGGGGAAAGCCAGGAGAACCTGTTGTGGCTGTGGCAGCCATGGCGGCGGTGCCAAAGCCAAGCTGCTGCTGCTGCCATGCAGATGCTGCGGCTGCGGCTCCTGCAGCTGCGGCTGCAGCCTGACCACCAGAGCCCCACTGCTGCTGCTGCTGTAGCTCCTGGTGCAGCTGCAGCTGCTGGAAGCGGCGAAACTGCTGCAGCTCCTGTGGAGTTATGGGGTCAGCGATAGAGGAGGAGGAGGAGGCGAGCTGAAGATGGGAGGGGAGGAAAGACGGAAGAGTTTTGACATCCTGGAGAGAGGGGCGGGGATCCATGGCAGACCAGCGTGGGGGTGTGCCAGTGTTGCCGCGCTCGAACCAGGCGTCATCATACGCTTTGAAGCAGGTCGTTGGGGGATGGTTGGTTTGGGTGCAGCGCTCACCCGCCCTGGGACCAAAACGGCGAAGATAGGAACATGGGGGTAGAGTGCCAGGGCGGCCACCACGGCTACCAGATGAGCCACCACTGCCACCACCACCACCACTGCTGCCACCCTCGACCCCGCCACCACCACCGCCAGCTCCGTTGCCCCCTCAACCGCCACCTCCACCCCCTCCCTGAGGGTTGATGCGGCCGCCACGTGGGCGCCCTCCACGACGCGGCTGTGTGACTGCAAGCTGGGGGTTTGGGGACTCGGTGGAGTTCAAGCCGGAGGGGGGGGTTGAGAGAAGGCGGGCCTCAGCGTCAATGATCCACTGGACCACAGTGTCAAGGGAGGCACGGGGCTGAGCCTCAGTGAAGGCGATGACGCGCACTTCATACTGAGGGGAGAGGCCTTCGAGGAGACGGTAGATCTGAAGGTTGGAGGGGAGAGTAGTCTGGCAAGCCTCTAGGCGGGATGCAAGGTCCAGGAGACGGCTGGTGTAGTCAACGGCGCCAGCACTATGTTCGATCGTGATGCTGAAGTATTCCTTGAAGAGCGGTCCGACAGCATCGAAGTCGGTGCGTTCGAACATCGCCTCAAGCTCGAGCCAGATCTGGCGGGAGCCGATGCGACGTGCCTGGAAGTTGCGCATGAGCGTAGGCGGGATGGCAAGGAGAAGGGCACCAGTAGCACGGCTGTCCGCCTCGAGCCAGGCGTGACGACGCTCAGCAAATCGCGCAGAGTCAGCGGCATAAGCGGCGGCGGTAGCTGCATGCTGGTTGCGGAGGGTGGCCGACCGCTCGTGTTCCTCCAAAGCGATCAGGTAATCAGTATGGAGCACGAGGAACTCACGACGCTGAGTAACGAAGAGCTGCTCAACTTCAGTGGTGGCAGCGCGAGTGCTGGTGCCAACGGGTACCACGGGGAGCAGAGGTTCCTCGCCGGGATGGGGAATGAGAGGGGGGGGATCGCCAGGGTGAGGCGGCGGGTCCCCAAGGTCACCCTCTGGGAGACCAAGCATGATGTCCAGGAGGCGGAACGGCAGGACATATGCACTGCCGAGGACGCGGTGGAGGCTGCCGATGAAGGAATACCAGTTGGTTGCTGAGTTGTCGGCAGCGCGCACCAAATGATCGAGGGTCGAAACGTCGACAGGAGGGGGAAAGGATGCCATTGGTGACATGGAGAGGGAGGAAGGCGACGGCGGGTGGACCCGCGGTGGCCGGGAGGGAGCGGCGGCGAGTGGACCCGCGGCGGCTCAAAGAGGAGGGGAGGATGGGGATGGCTGTAGCTACTGTTGCTGCTCCCACTGCTGCTGCTGCTGCTGCCACTGCTGCTGCTGCTGCCGCTGCTGCTGCTGCTCCTTCTTCTGCTGCTGCTGCTGCTGCTGCTGCTGTGTCTGCTGCTCCTTCTGGTGCTGCTGCTGCTAGCTGATGGCAGTTAGCTGATGGGGAAAGATGGCAGTTAGCTGATGAAAGTAGGACTTGGTGGAAATTTCAGTAGCACTTCGTGATCACATCCAGGAAAGTGCGCGAACTTCGCAAAGCGATATCCGACAATCCAAGCGGTGAAACAGTCTGAAATTTTACGTCGTTGTAGCTGACACCAAGGGCGTTCTTTTGCAAGTCGAATCACTCAATTCTGTCGACTAGCGAGCGAGCTATGGCGTTTGGCGCACTGGGGATGTTTGAAAATCCACCCAACAGAAAACTAGTTGTGAAGGGAGAGAGAGGCGGCGGCTAGGAGTCTAGCAGCGGCGATGGGGGGGACGGCAAAGAGATGCACGTCGGAAGGGGATGGGGCGGAAGCGTGGGGAAGGATCGAGATTAAAAGTTGGCGTGAGCCATTATTGCTCTATACCATGTTAGAAACAGAAATGTTGAGTTTATTGATCAAGCAAAGGCATTACATAGGAAGAGAGAGATGAGCTAGGAAGGGAAGGTTGGAAGGGAAGGGGGGGTTAGGACCAATCACAAGGGAGGGAGGATCCTTCCAAATGTGGTTGACCACAAGTGGGAGGTGGTCCAAGTATGGTGGACCACAAGTGGCTTAGGCAACCCACTTGTGGTGCCCCCACAATTGTGGTCCTTGTGTTTGGGGGCTCCAACCACAATTGGCTTGGATTGACACCCCAACACAGGTGTACACCCAACTAGGGATGTAAACACAATATACACAACTAGCATAGCATGGCATATTCTAACAGATGTGAGAGAGAAATTGGCAGACCGCGTGAAGGTCAAACAGCTCCTCATGCCTGTCCTCCAGAAGCGCACGGGAGGGAATACGGATGGAGGGGACATCACCCCTGGCAGGAGGAGGCGGGGTGACCAAACACCGGATGGAGAAGGCGGCTGGTCCCCAGGCGAGAGGCGGAGCCGGTCCCTTGGAATGAGTGCGACTAGAGACCGGAGACGAAGGCGGCTGCGGTGGGACCGGAGGGACTGGGCGCCTCCGATAGGAGACTGGTGAGCCGGGCTCGACGCGCGGGGAAGGCGGAGCAGGAGGAGGTGCCGCTGCGGAGGATACTGGGGAGGCCGGGTGAGACACGCCGGACGGAGAAGGCCCCGGAGAAGGGGCAGCGGCCGGAGGTGGGGCATCGAAGTCTGCCCAAACAAGCGTCGGGGGAGGTGGAGGAGGCTCGCCCGTGGTCGCAGAGTGGAATGGGCGTGTCTCATCGAAGACGACATCACGGCTGCGAATCAGCTGTCTGGTGATTGGGTTGAGGAATAAGTAGTCTGGGGAGTCGGAGTTGTGCCCCAGGTACATGCAAGTCCGGGTTTTGGGACCAAGCTTGCCACCTTGCTTCCTGCGCGTGTGGGGGCTTAGCAACACATACGCGGTACACCCCCAGACGTGTAGAGAGCGGGCGGAAGGCGTCACCCCAAGCCAGAGAGCGGTAGGTGTGGTGTCGGGCCGGTGGGGATGCGGATAAAGATTGTAGAGGAGTGCCGCATGGAAGAGGGCATATCCCCAGAGTGACCGTGGTGCGTTGGCGTGACTGAGGAGGCAGCGAGCGATCTGAACCAAGGTGTGGTTGCGGCTCTCTGCAATGCCATTGTCGGTGTGCAGCGCGGCATTTCTGGAAATTGGTCGACGTGAATTGCTGAAAATCACTCTGACGGCTTTATTAAAATGCTGCTAGCTAGGAAATGGCGTCGGCGAAAATTCGTTAAAACGCCGACTTGAAACTGAATTTGAGCCTATGTCTAACCCCGGACCCACACACCCCCCCACACACCCCCAGGCCCTGTCCCGCAACTACACAGCTCCGCAACCAGCTCCGCAACTAGCTCCGCAACCAGCTCCGCTCCGCTTCAACCTGTGTACCTGCTCTTGATTTGACGCGAAACGTTCGTGGAGGCGATTTCGCGAGGGGAGTTTGCCTATTCTGGGGGGGGTCTGAGGGGAAACTCGAGTACGAGTTTTAAGAGATGGTCGAAATTGAGATTCGACCAAGGAGAACCGAGGAGGAAATCGACGACGAGAAGCGTGAAAGCTTCGGAGATGAAAAATTCAACGAGGTCGAGCGCGAAGGTGGTCGACGATGAGAGGCGCGACTGCAGAGTGGAGCACGTCGAAATTCCGACGACTCGAAACGAATGTCGCGACGATGAAGTGCGCGTAGCGCGGGCACGTTGAGATTAGGACCTTGATCCGCGTGTGCGGATAGGTCACTCTGATACCATGTAAGAAATAGAGTTGAAATGATTGATTAGGTAAGGAGCCCAAGGCTCTATAAGTACATGGCAAGGTGAGAGAGAATGGATGAAGGGGGAATTGGAGGGAATCCTCATTGGGATCTCCGGAATCTCCAATTGGGTAATTGGAGCTTGTGGGGATCACAATTGGGTGAGGTTGGGATTTGTGAGTACACCCCAACCCACTAGAACATTCACAACCTAAACTAGGATATAAAAGTACAAATACATAAGTGGTATTTGCAGTCTATTTCTAACAAACGCCTCATGCTCCGCAGGTGTGAGGGTGTCAGGGAGGGCAGCAGGCGGGTCGGGGCAGGGGAGCTTACTGTCGATGTGGACGGACAATGACTGGCCATCCTGGCGCCGAACCTTCAGCTGGCGGCGGAGGTCGGCGAGCCATGCCTCAAAGTCGACCGCCTGACCCTCCACGTCTAGGCGGAGCACAGCGTCCGCCATAACCATGGCTGCAGAACCTGACGACCGGCGGATGTGCCAGCTCAGAGGGGAACTAGGGCCGGCGGCAAGGAGGCTCAATGGCACGGCGGCACAGCGGTACGGCGGCTCGGCGGCACAGCGGTATGGCACGGCGGCATGGTGGCATTGCAGCACAACGGCATGGCGAGCTGGGGCGGCGCGGCTCGGCAAACATTGTCTGGCGGCAGGCTGGCGACACGCAGGGAGCCGGAGGGGGGGGCAGGGGGGGCGGCGTGCCAGGGCCGGCGCGAGCTGGGAGGGGCCGGCGCAAACAGGGGCCGGCGAGCAAGGGCCAGTGAGCTGGGGCCGGCACGAGGTGGAGCCGGCGAGCTAGGGCTGGTGAGCTACGGTCGGTGAGCTGGGGCCGGCGAGCTGAGGCCGGCGCGAAGCCAGCGAGCGAGCTAGGGCCGGCGAGCGAGGCGGCGGCAAGCTAGGGCCTGCGAGCTAGGGCCGGCAAGCTGGGGCCGGCGAGCTAGGGCCGACGAGCTATGGCGGGGGAGGCCATGCGGCGACGAAAGGGGCAGCGCGCGAAGGGCCAGCGATGAGCTAGGGGCCAGCGGGCGAGCTAGGGGTCAGCGGGCAAGCTAAGGGCCAGCGACGAGCGAGGGGCCAGCAGTGAGCTAGGGGCCAGCGTGGCGAGGAAAGGGGCTCGCACGGCGCGCGAAGGGCCAGCAGCGAGCTAGGGGCCAGTGGGCGAGCTAGGGGCCAGCGGCGAGCGAGGGGCCAGCAACGAGCTAGGAGCCAGTGCGGCGAGGAAAGCGGCTCGCGCGGTGCTCGAAGAGCCAGCCGCAAGCTAGGGGCCAGCAGGCAGTGCGACGGGACTAGGGCGAGGGCGGGCTAGGGCGAGCTAGGGCGAAAGCGTGGGTGGGTAGATGTGAGAGGATGAGGCTTGCTGAATCCTTGATCACTACTACTTGCTATTTGCTAATTATTGTGTGTTATCTTGTGTGTTTTTTCTTTCCTGGAAATTCCTACACTTTTCCCTGCACGTTGATATATTTTATATATATCAATTGTGTTACGGAGTGTTTTGGACTTTCCTTGCGTGACATGTTTTCTATTGCGTGGAGTGTTCCGTCAACCGTCACCGTATCTCTAGAATCCCTACCGTGCTTCTAGATGGTGTTTCTACGGACAGTTCCACTCATTTATAGAACTCTCTTAAAAGGTCCTAGTTACCCTTCCCTAGAGTTCTCGTAGGTATACAGTAAATAGCATTTACTCTTTGCTTGTAGACATTCAACTCTCGATTAGTATCATTCAAGCTTCCGCTAAATCCTGGACCTGTGACCTTGGTAATCAGAGTTGAAGCTTGGTAATCAGAGCACAATGTTTCCGATCAACGCTAGCCGCTGTGCCTCTAGAAGCACGCCGAGGATGGAGTCGAACTTCTCGATCGCGTAAGTAAATCGTATATTCTTTCCACGTTCCAACTAACCTCGTGCAGTTGCACATGGGGTCCCCGTCGATGGCGAACACCATCGTCAACCATTCGATTTTCAGCATCGACGGAGCCGATTTTTCGGAAGGGCATACGTCAGCGACCCTTGCCAATGAGAGAACGTCTCCTAAGTACAGTGGCAGGAAAAAATGCCCGGATGTTCAGCACTTTGAAACTTATCGCTATGCAACACATGTTTCGAATATAGTAACACCTTTTTTTTGTTGGTCCTATTACAAGTTCGTCGAGTTTTGTTTCCACCGTATACAGCTTGGCGCGATTGTCCCTCATCCAGTTAACGGGGATGAGATTTACTCATCGTCAGTCAATCCGGACGGTTCATACCGAGCGACAGTCTAGATCTAATTTCACTCGCCACTTAATGTACATACCGTTTCACGCAACAACCATTAGTATAGGAGTTAGGCCAGAAGTTAACCTCCGACCGCAGCACGATGAAGCCGGTAGATGAGAAGAAGCGCGCGTGTATCTAAAGCATGTTGTGCAAGGGGAAGCCGACTAGGAAAATGGCCAAGGAGCTCGGCATAGGCAAAAGTACCGTGCCTGATTACGGGCTGAATGTGATTGCTGAGACTAGTCGCGATGAGGTGCGACCTGCATGCCTACGGCCGGCCGTCCACGCTTAATTACAACCCGCCTCCAGCGCGGTATAGTTCGTACGATTACTAAGGGGGAGGCAAAAACTAGTGTGGACACAGTGACGATGCTAGAGGAGAAGCATGCTCTGGTTGTAGACTCGAAGACCGTTAGGAACTCGTTACGATCCGTGGGGCTGATCGCTGTGCAGCAGCCCAAGAAAACCAGGCTCTCTGCGAAAAAACATACGAGACCGGCTGGATTTTGCGAGGTCTCATGCCGACTGGACGATGGAGGACTGGAAGCGCGTGATATGGTCCGATGAGACAATGATTAATCGTTTCTGCTACGACGGACGTGCGCACGCCTGGATTCGCTCGGGCAGCAAACTCCAGAGCCACCAAATCCAACAGACAGTTAAGCATGGGAGCGGTTCTGTGATGGTGTGGGGTTGCATGACGTATGAGGGGGCCGGGTTCATGTGCAAGATCGATGGAAGGATGGATGGGCCGCTGTATCGCAACATCTTGCTAGACGAACTATCTCAAACCATCGACTTTTACAAGCTCCCCCCCTCAGAGGTCATATTCTAGCACGATAATGATCCCAAGCACAAGTCACGTCTGGTGCAAGACTGGCTTGGGGAGCAGGAGTATTTAGTGCTGGAATGGCCCTCGTCCTCCCCGGACCTTAACCTGATAGAGCACCTGTGGGCACACTTGAAAAGGAAGCTGGCGAAGTACGACAAGCCTCCCACTGGAATGTTGGAGCTGTGGGAGAGGGTGCAGGAGGAATGGGACAAGATTCCAGCGAAAGTGTGCTCAAACCTCATCAACAGTATGCCAAGGAGGATCAAGGCGGTGATCCGCG